GCTGAGAAGACCACCACCCTATAAAAGCTCAATTATATTGGTTCCCTAAGAGACTTAATTAGCATTTCCCACTACATCAGTCAATACAAAATAGTCATTAGAAAAGGTCAAACACCACGGGGGAAAACACTACTTTGTTTTGACCAAGTGTATTACTGACGTCTACAGAATGAAATTTTCTGATTCACGTCTGGTGCTTATTTGTATATCTATAGTACTTCACTTTGTGTTTCAGTGACATTTTCACTTAAATAGTACTGATATCATCACTTTTCAGGGTTTACAGATCCTATGACATTTTTTCACACAAAATTACCATATCGATTTGTGTGGTTTACTTGCTTTGATACTCTATAGAGTACTAACATTAAATGTTATAAAATGTAAGAAGTTCAGGAAAGCGAAAGTAATTTCTTTTTCCCTAATACTTTATACCCTACTAGTTATTTTAAACTTCACTCCAAGACATAAATTATTGAAATCACTAGTTTGTGGAACAGTCATATGTATATATTTTTTCTATCGAAAACGAGGAATAATTTAAATCCCCTCATATTCTAAACTATTTTTTTACAAAAAAAATAGTTGGCGTAGAGACCTCGATCATTTCGTAAATAAATATATATCTAATGAATAAGCTAATTTCCGTTTACAATAATCTAAAAATCAGCTATGATTATTGTTTTATCATTAAGACGTATCTAATCAATTTATATTCAGTGGTTTTTCATTTAATAATGAATGTCAATTGCATATTTGATTATTAAAACAATCAATAGCTAGACTAGTGTTAATTTATTAATATCAGCTGATTGTATCATATGAATAGTCGTTTTAATTTATATTTAAAAGAAATACAAAATAATGAATATGATTGAAAAGTGCATTCAATGACTAGTAATTAGGTGGAATTAAGAAATTATCAAAGTAAAAACAAGATTCGTAAGTCGAAACAAATTCTAGTGGTTAAGTGCTCGCGCACGAAACCAGTAGGTCCTGGGTTCAAATCTCGCAGGGGGCGAGGTCGTGTATGCGCACTGTTGAGGAGTCCCACAATAGGACGAAACGGCCGCCCAGTGCTTTCAGGTTTTCCATGGTGGTCTAGCTTCAACTGACTCATGATCTTAACCATTGAAATTACATTTTAGATGTACAAGAATGAATTAAAAGTAACATAAAAAAATAAATAAAATCTGTGAGAATCTATTAAAAATACTGAAGAAAAACAAACTATCTAGTAAAAAAATAATTGAAAACAAGGCATCAAAATGGTTTGTAATCTAAGGAATAATGATAATAAAGGGATCAATTCAGCAAAACATTACAAAAGATTAATTGATAAACGTTATTTAGGAAACATTACGGTTAGAATGGAAAAGTGAATGAATATTGGATTTTAGAAATGTGGAAAAATTAATAACGCAGAGAAGTCAACATGAATCTACTAAGGTAATTCTAAATTAACCACTTGAATAAAGAGAAATTAGCGAAAATTTTATTTTCGACAAAACCATTTACTTAAGTTGTATATATGGTTGGAAGAAAGTTAGGAGCGGTCAAACCAAAACGTGGAATCAGTGCTTGAAGTCACTAACTTCTAGTCTGAGTCATGTTGGTAGATGCAGACTACTTGGTTGGGGTCCACGTGACTATCGTAAACAATGGTTGGAGACTCTTGGTGACATGGCTCAGAATCGATCACAATGGCGTAGGTGTATACACTCTCTGTCTTCCCTTAAACTAAGAGATTAAAATCGCTCCATATCTTTCCTTCTACGAACTAATTATTTCTTCCTGTACTATATACTTATATGCAATTTTTCTTTTATATATTACCACCTCTGAATTAACTACTTTTATGAATCCGGTGTCCATCTTGTTGTGTTAATGAGGTATGGCAACTTGAACCGATGCATATATGTGCCTGGTCCTACGTTGGTAGCTGACTGGTTGATATTCGTATTTACAGTTATGAATCGATTCTTACACTATATGAAGTTTAGATGCATAATGACTTAGTAAAGGGTGTGAAGATGGGTCCTTGATTTTGTTGTAAGTTATTTACATCATTTTCAGAAATTGACGTATGAACTCGTTAGATCAATAGTTATGCAGTTTAGTAACCTTATTTTGTGAACCATTGAGCATTTAACTTGCCTGTTGACTGAATTATTGTCGACATTTCGCTTGCTTTGAGTTGCATGTTGGTTTAGTTATCCTATCCAATCTTATTAGTGATATAAAATACATTATTGTGGTTTTAGCTTGATAATAGACGTATCAGTAGTGTCTGGCTTATTAATCACTGTCAAGCAGCCTCGAGCGGTAGTTTCTCGGAGTTAGACCAACAATCGCATAGTAGCAACTACAAGAGACAATAGATTAGCAAATAAAATAGCTTCCAAACCAGGAGGTCGCACGTTAGAACATTCATCGCGATACTTTGATTCGGGCAGTGAGGTGACATCACTGATCCTTAAACAAGCAGCGGGACTCAAAACCAAATTAAGTGCTCTGTACTTGCTATATGAGCTGCAATTGTATTACTTTCGGCTTCTAGACCATTCACCTTAATAAACATATCTACCTACGTATTTTGTAATGCTCAATAGTTCTTCCCATAAATCAAATTAATCAGTCTATAAAGACTTTAGAGGGAAAAGGAAGTCCATTAAAGTTGAGATCAAATGGTAAGACCAAACAAACCCATTTATAATCACCATACGCCAACAGAGACAGACAGATTGCAATCCTTAACAAAAATCAAACATAAATGGAACAAAGACATCCATTAAGCAATCAGTTTTGTTGGTGTCACAATATATCAGCGTACATCCGAAGCTTGGACGGATAACACGATATACCAAGGTCACATGGTAAGTGAGAATGACGGTGACCCATTGGAAGTCAATGAATCACCTAACCATTACCATCCAACAAGCACATTCCTATCTGGATTAGCCCAGTACTTTATATGTATAAATGACTCGTACACATAATCCTTTGGCTTTTCAGACATTTTTAATTTTCTTCCTTTCCATATTTAGTCAAGCAAGAGTCTAGGAAGGATTAAGCATTAACCAAAGCTGATGGGAGAATATGATAAGCATTTGGAAAACTGAATCACTTACAGGCAGGTAAAGATACTGAATACTTATTGAAGTAGGTTTTGTGGTTAGTTGATACACGGACGAAGAATCGGTCCAGTGCACTCTAGTGATGAATACCACCTCCATATTGAAATCTTTCCAGTATTTAGCCAACTGGGGCTAAGTTATGTTATAAGATTAAGGTTTTCTATCATACCCAGGAGATAGAAGTTGTGTCTAGGCTCAATACAAATAAGTACATACATAATTAACATATGCCAACTCAGAGCATTATTTTGATGTGATACTATCCCTGAAGAACTAATATGACGAGAACTTTCAAAAATAACCGAGATGCAAAAACATTGGTGGACGGATTTGATCATATAGACTGAAAACATCTTGACTGGTGAAAACCAGATATTTGATAGTACAACTTGCTGACTGACTTTAAATAAACCTTGAAGGACCAGTTACTGCCAGGGAAGTCCTACTCACTGCCCTCTCGAGGTGGGGGTGTTTACGAAATTTGAAGGACAAAATGCGAATATCCAGAGCTTTAACCGGGTTAGTGGACACGGAGGAAGTTGGGGAACTGATCCCAAACTAACGATGCACACGGGCTCCAACATCCTAAGGAAACAAATGGCGTATGAACCTATTTTTGGGACTGTATCTCCTAACGTTTCTCCACCACCTTGTAGACTAGACCTTTGGATCAAAAGCTCTGGGTGTGGCCCCTTAAATAAACCACCTGCGTCAATTTAGACTCTTAGGCAGTATTCCAGCCCTCACACATACCGGATGACGAAGGGTTGAGTATATATATCTAGTGCCTCCTTGAACCAATGTCTGTGTTTAAATAAATAATTATAGGACCAGATGAAACCAGTGAACCTCTGGTATGAGCAACTTACTGATCTAATCACGTCTCCGATTTTTAACTTGATTGTAATACATTTCTTTCCTTGTTAAATTTCTGAGTCGTCAAGTGTAATAACCTGAAATGATTCACTAGGGTTTAAAAAACCCAGCAAATCATAAGGAACACTTGATATAGAATGAAACGTTTAGTTAAAAACACACAATCAATTTAAGGGAGAACTTTATTGCAGTGTGAGCCAAAAGACTACACCGACATCATATTATCGATCTACTTTAAATAACACACCGACAGTCAAATAAATTCACTCAAATCAAATATTCAACCTTGTCGAAATAAATTGAAAAGTTTGTAAGTTGGCGACCGTACTAACTGGTCGGAATCAAAAGCAATACAGTAAAATGGTTAACACGATATTATTTTACAGAAGATTGCGCATAGACGAGATAAAATACAAATCATGAAATCATAAGATCAATGGAGCTTTCAGCATATTTTTGCTCAAAACTGAATCCTAGAAATAATTAAATTTCAGCATAGAGAAAGAAAGCGTGAGGATATAGTTGGATGATTCGATGATCAAACATTTGAAGTAAAATAACAACATATTACAATGATATTCATGAGTTGACGAGTGGAATGAATGTCGTAAACATTTTATCGAAGAGAGAAAAACAATATATTTTAGTTACACAAACGGCTCCAATAAATCATTAAACAGTAATGTAGATTATAAATTTGTATGACCCATAGTTATGTAAATCCAATGCAAGTAAGGAAGTATGTAGCATACTGGGTAAAAATAATATAGCACATGACAGTTTGATTCGAGATCTGAAGATCAATTAAATTCTCCAACAGGAATTACAGCAACCCATATACGTAAAATTGTGACCAATAAGACTACAAAGCAAAATCATTAGTTGAAACAAACTGAACATGCAAAATAATGACGTAAAAGACTGGAGGATTGAAGAAACATGTGATATACCCATGTTATAAGAAAATATTGAGTGGACGAATCAGGACTATCTACAACACTGTCTTTGTTGTGTAGGCGAATCGTTTGGCGTAAGCTGTTGTCCCCCAGATGGTCTAGATGGTTCTGTATGATTAAGTAACTCCCGAGCTAAAATCGCAAGCAAGTTTACAAGGGTAGATAAATTACAGTGAATTAAAATGGAAACATTTATCAAAGTGAGACTAACATACAAACAAAAAGTTGTGATTTGCTGCATCACAAAATATCTCTATTGAGGCATCTAAAAAAACCTTCACTTCATTTCTGACTGCTAAATGTTCTTAGATAATTGTCTAAATCATCTACAACCACTAAAACATTAATAGCAAAAATGCGATTTGTAAGAGTCAAGATTAATGCCATATGAATGTCGAAACACTAAGGGAATCATAAAACCCTAGAAGATAAAAAAATATACCTCAGTTAAACATCAGATGTTAGAAAAATAATAATATAATACAATACAAATGAGATAAAACTTATTCACCGAAATATGAACTGTTAGAAATTTCACGGAAACACTAGATTCTCATGTAAATGTTTGCAAATTTGGCATTCAGCTACATACTATTATTGATAGTTAACAATATTAACCGGCTGCTCAAACTCTAAACAGTGCTGTTACTTTCGAACCAGAAGTCCAGTGAAAATTCAGTCCTTCAAGTACTAAACTAATCATTCATAGCGACAATATAAGGAAAATAATATCGATTGAAAAGACAACGCGGAACGTTAAAGAAAAGAATGGGAAAAGATTAAAATAACCTGCCTAAAAGCAGATTATTGGTCGATATCAAAATTATGCGTCAGGAGAGATAATATCAACATGTTATTCAGAATTTCTGTAAACATCTTTATTAGTACTAGATTAAGCGTCTTATCAAATAATCAGTAACTAGTTTAACGATTCCACTACTTAAATTTCAGCTGAAATCAAAACTGATTTTTTACCGTTATATTAAGCTTAAGCAAACTATAGTGATACAAATGCAAACCTAACTCCGCCTGTAGCTCTCCTAGGGTTACTGCAAGTCACAAGCCTTTGTAAAGAGGGAAGATTGGGTATGGGATCAGCAACCCTATCCCGTAGAAAACAACCTTGCTAAAAAGACGTTAAATAGGATAAACAAATTAAACCACTTAAATTCTGTCCTCTGAGTTGAACGATTCTTCTTTCAGAAGAACCATGACGCCTCATGATGAAAGCCGAGATTCTTAGGAAATCACGATACCGATCCCCCTTCTAACAACCAGAGTAACAATTTGGAATGTTCGGATAATGTTGGAGACCGGGAGGACCAATCAAATAGCTGTGGAAATGAGGAGATATAACTTGACAGTACTCGGAATCAGTGAAACCCATTGGACCGAATTTGGACAGAAGCGATTAAATTATGGAGAGATGGTGCTACACAGCGGCATTATTTGCCGACTCTGGGACTGGTTGGAAGAAGCGGAGAGGTGGTCAGTGCATGACATGGTGTCGTGGTATGAAAGAAAGCTGCAAAGGACTGGCTTCTGTCGGTCCTTCACGACTCCCTGGTTGTGGTCTGAGAGATGGTGCTACACAGTGGCTAGAGACGTTATCAGATATGGCTCAGAATAGAAGCCAGTGGCGATCCTGCTGTAACCTTCTTTTACTTTCTTCATAAAAAGTGGTTGTCTCCCTTACCTGAAAGATTTCTTCTGATTGTACCTTTTCGTTCCCTCGTTACTACCACACTACCTTACACCAATCTCTTCGTTATTGTTCTTTTTCTTTTGCGCTCCTTAGTTTTTTTTTCTACTTCTCTTCGAATTTTCATTGTTTTGTGTGGCGCATATATATTGGCCCTCTCTTGTACCAATATTCATGTGTTCAAATAAATAAATAATGGAGAGATACTACTGTACTCTGTTCACGAAATGTTCCACACACTCAGGGAGTTGCTATGATACTGTTCAAAGAAGCATGTAAGGCATTTTTTACGATGGGAATCTCATGGACTCAGGACCATCAAAGCATCTTTCGAAACAAAAGAAGAAATCACAATGAGTGTTGCCCAATGTTATGCACCCACCAATGATAGCAACGACGATGATAAAGATCAGTTTTACGAGATGCTGCAATCGATCTTAGCGAACTCTTCAGGAAAGGACCTGAACATCCTCATGGGAGATATAAACGTCCAAGTCGGAATGGAGAACACCAGGTATAAAGACATCATGGGACGACATGGACTGACAGGAAATCTATTGGCAATTCAAAAACTTTATTCCTTATGTGCTTACTAGTACGATCCGAATCTAGCGCAAAAACGAAATCTTCGAATACTCAACTGATATCAATACTATTAAGGAATCTATTTCCATTGTTGCTAGCTTGACGTGGTTATCGGGCTTGCCTATCGTGATGAAGCAACCGGGCTATATTGGCTGAAACAACCGTTACTCAAGGTCCTACCATGCCAGACAGGTCGGTTGAAGAGCGGTAAGACTAAAAGCAACAAACCCAAGGTCCGAAGGCGAAGTCGTACTGCTGACTGTATAGAGGTGACCTGCAAGTCTAACTTCACGATATGCAACATGCTCACGCAAATTCATGAAAATTACCTATGGCAGTGAACAGTTCGGAGACATTAGTTGCAATTTTGGCTGACGTCTCCATAAATAGTAATCTATTTTTATCGGCGTATTCTTGTGCTTCCTAAAAAATGTAAAGAAAAAAACTAATTAGAAACTTCTAATATACAGAATACTGAACAAAACTAGGAAACCCTTTAAAAATGGAACCTCTTAGAAACATTGTTGTATAATGCTTGTAAACTACGTTGAATCAGGAGTTTAAAACACGAACAAATCTAACATGTATGTATGCTTAACGACACAACAGTTTCGATATATTAATGCTCACAAAAAGTGGACAGCTCAAAAAACTTACGTATAAACCAAAAAATGTTCAAAACTTTTTCGAGTTACATTTAAATATTCAGATGACAATTGAAATTTTACAGATTTAATAACTAGGAAATTGAATATTTTAAAACCACGCCCGAAGATAAGAGAATAACAGCAGATTTATGAAACTGAGAACATATATACGTTATGTATGAAAAGAGCTCAAACCACATTTTTAAGGATAATAGCGATTTGATGACGATGAAAATCCATGAGACAGGAAAGATGTGTACATTTATAAAAACGTTTTACTTGCTGAATCCCGTACCTACGTTTTTTCCAGTATCCATTACTACCACCAACAGTATATGTCATGTCTTCAACAGCTGCTTGAACGTTTTCTTATTCTATAACAGCTATCCACTATATAAGCTTGGGTGCAATAAACATGCAGCTGGGAAAGTTACTTAATAATGAACTCGAAGAAGAGTATAAATTGTTTTATGAATAAACCACATTGTTTTCGAAATTCTACCCCAAAATTAATTCAAGAATTGTCTAGTCTCCAAATACAGTGATGAGTTAAGCTAGTGAACTCCGATCGGATTGGGAAGAAACATCAAGCAGTAATAGATAACCGTGATATTATGACTGATCCTTAATCACTAACTTTTAACCATTGATTTCTATCATATGAGGTAACAAACAAGGCAAATCTATAACATCTCACAACTTAGGTGGGTAATCAGTGAGTGCGTTATCAAATAATATTTCTTGATACGACCAGGCCTAGCTGTTTATCAACATAATCATACTTCACTCGTCATCGCTCATGTTGGCGAATGGTTACTCATCACATACAACATACAAACGCACACCAACTGATCTGTTCTTCTTGCAGCCACATTCCGCAATCCTAGGAAAACAAGTGAGTACTGTAACTTGAATAAATTCTTCATTCCCTACACCATATATTACAGATATCGGGTAGCAAGGTAAATTTCTGCAAGATACTGTTTTTTAATTAACTCAGATATCTCATCGGTGGAACAAATACCTTCCGCAATTACTGTCACATCCTGAAGCATAAGTGTACTTACTACTGACACTAGTCAATTGGTTAGCCTCAGGGTGGCATTTAATTTTATCAATTAAGACTCCGTAACAGATCCTGTTTGAAGGGGGAGGACCTAACAACCACAATTAATTATTAGTAATTAACTTCTAAATGCAGAACAAAGTTGTAGAACCTAGTACAACTGTTGACCCAAGTCACCACACGCTACATCAGCATTCCAAGATGAGGTTAACAGAACGGAAAGTATAGTGAGGTTAACTTTAATCCAATGGAAAGTTAAACATGAGAAAGTTAAATCGACTGCATACTGAAATGAGACAAACAAAAAGACTAGCAAGTAAATGGAAACAACTGCATCAATTGTATTAAAGTGTTAAACAGGGAATATAGTTCAAGGAGTGAAATAAAAGGGTAGAAAGTACGATTACTGAAACTCAAGATTCTCCATGTGCATGGACTTACGTTACACTAAATACTTGTAGAATCGTATGAATTACTTTTGGTAAGTAGTGTTTAGATACTTAAAGTACTAAGTCGGTGGAAAACTCATGAAAGTTAGAGGTTTGAACACATTACCTCGAACGAAACAGCTCGCTGTCCTTCGAGATCCACTTTGTTTCCTGCAAGTGCAATCACCCCACTAGTATTCGCTTTTTCTTGAAGTTCATTAACCCAGGATTTTGCACGTTCGAATGAGTTCTGGTTAGTAATATCGTAAACGACAACTGCCGCCTGGGCTCCTCTGTAGTACATAGGGGCCAAACTATGATAACGCTCTTGTCCTGAATTTAAAGGAAATTGTAGATTTCAATAGCCAATACAGAAAATTATAGCTAGTTAGACATGTGTGTATATATTAATATTTGATTATTTATGTAACCATCTATTATCTGTAAGGTCACAGGTTCAAGTCCTAGGTCCACCAAGCTACTTACTATAAGCTGATGGCATTAGCACAAAACCCGAAACAAGTTGATGCTACGAAGCTAGAATTACTTACCAAGCATAGACTTATTATTCATACTTTAAGCTATATCTTATGTCAGGGCCAGTGATAATATCTGTTCCCCTCGATGGAAGTAGATGGGGAGGAGCTTGAATCTACAACACACTGGCTGATAAAGGAGGAGGTATAGTTCTCATGAACAAAAAAGATTACCTGGGAAAAATGGAAACAATGCTTAGCGATTCTAGCAAATTTCAGAAAATTACTAGTAATTGTGACATCAATAATAAAGTAAAGACAATTGGCCAATTTCCTTAAAGATCTAACGAAAAAGGGAATAATTACGACTGAGATTTACGATTCAATTAAGCCGACTGGATCATTTACACCACGATTGTATGGTTTGCCTAAAGTACATAAATCGGGTCTTCCTCTACGCCCAGTTCTAGATATGTACAATTCTCCTTACCACAAAATCGCAAAGTGGCTAGTACGAATCCTAGAACCTTTACACAAATCAGTTGTTAGAAATAGTGTAAAAGATGTCTTCAACTTCATCTCCAAAGTAGAAAATATTAATGTCAGCATGAAAAATATGATCTCATTGGATGTAGAATCTTTGTTCACCAACGTACCACTTATAGAGACTATTGATTTTATATGCAAGCAAATATCAAAGAAACAAATCAACATTGGCCTGCCTAACGATAGCCTAAGGGAACTGCTCCTAAGATGCACTCTGAATGTACATTTTGTCTTCAACAATACTTACTATAGACAAATAGACGGGATAGCCATGGGCTCGCCTCTAGGCCCGATTTTAGCTGACCTCTTCCCTAGCAAAGCTAGAAAACGGACCTCTCAATGAGACTATTAAGAAACTGGATTTATATTGCCGATACATTGACGACACATTCATTATCGTAGACCAAAACACTAGTAAAGAGAAACTCCTAGACCAATTCAACAGTGTTCACCCAGCGATCACCTTCACTGGTGAAAGCGAGCATGATAAGAAGCTGAGCTTCCTTGACGTCACGCTAAGCAGACGAAGCGACGGCACATTAAGTAGAAGCGTGTATAGAAGAAACCCCTCTTCATGCCAATATACTCACTTCTGCAGTTTCACACCCATCCGGTACAAGAGAAATTTGGTCAGATGTCTCACGAGCAGAGCAAAAAAGATCTGTACAGTAGACACTCTAAGTCAGGAGCTTGAATTTCTCAACAACTCACTGACCGAGATCGGCTACCCCAGCGCGTTCATCAAGAAATACATGCAGGATATAATAAAGAAGTCGGAGATCTCGACTGTTCGTAAGAAACCTTTATACATGAAAGTGCAATTCAACGGGGATGTGGCTAGTGACACTCTGAAATATAGGTTAACCAAAGTAATCACCAAGACATTCTACGCAGCCAATCTTGCGTTGACCTTCTCTTGTCGACCAGCGATGTCTACTCAAACGAAGGATAAGTTACCTGAGTTGGCCTCTTCCATGTGCATTTACAAATTCAGCTGCTCCTGTGGAGATAGCTATATAGGGCGTACTACCAGGCAACTTAACCAACGAATGAGTGAACATCTACCAACTTGGTACATAAAGGGTCAGAGAAAAACTATTCGCAGTTCTATACTAGCACATCTTATTGATAGCGGTCATGCAGTAGAGAAATCGAAATCATTTCGAGTTATCTATCGTATACCTCCATCATTTCCCGACGGAGTCCGTTCCCGTCTCCTATATATAGCTGAAGCCATTGGAATTCGTACATATAACCCCAATCTATGTGTACAGAAGAAATATGTGACTCCCCTATCCCTTTCATGGCCAGTTATAACTTAACTAACAATTTTTAATTTTATTTTAAATTTTATTATTATCATTATTTATTTTATTCTATCTGTGTTATTGTTAACCTTATTTCCACATCCATTATTTGTTTGTCATTATCCGCCTCTTTGTATTCTTCACTATCTAATTATTTACACACATCTTATTACGTAATGATTTTTAAGGTTTTGTGATTACTATTCCTAGTCTATTTACCCATGTTTATTTGACCTTCTATTTCCAACGATTAACTATTGATAAGAGTTTTGTTATTGTAGTTTATTATTCTTACCACTATCTGTTCACCTGTCTTCGTACTATCAACTTGTACTTTTACCTATTTTATGTGTAGTGACTTATTCTATTTCATTGTGATTATTGACTCATATTGCCTTGATTGGTTTAAAATTTTCGTATAAATATTCATGTATATTAGAGTAAAGCCTGATGACGATCTAATTGAAAACAATTGTTCGCTTATATGTGTTGAAAGGTTATTGCTTCTACGTTAGTACTCTACTATTAAATTTAATACGTGGAAAGTAAGCGTGCTTTAAAGGTGTGCTCCGTTGCCTCAGTTGAATCTAGATGGCAGAATCAGTCTAATGCTTCAATTCTGTTACACTTATAGGATGGATGTTTTAACAATTTTACACTTCTAGTTTCTATGTGCAGCAAGTGAAGGCAAACCAAGAAGGCACTTTGACGTTAATCACCTCACCTCTTGGAATAAGGGGTTCAATAAGCTAAGGTAGATACATCTTGTGCTGATTTCAGATAACTTGCTTTAGTGTACAGAAATCCTGATATGTTCAGCTAAAGGGAATCTCCCAAAAAGATAAATATACGAGCAGCTCGTTAAAACTAACGCTGACATGTAGACACACAGTATGGAAGTAGATCAGCTGAGCTGTCAGTCACACTACCCTTCTTATTATAAACATCTGACACCAACTGCATCTGCCATCAGTTAGAAAAACAGGACCTCAAATGCCCTGGTACGGCCGAGAGTGGGGAGTCCGCTCTCCCTCTCGAAATGCTCTCACATGGCCACACGTATACAGCCTCTGCCAGGGAAGTCCTACTCGCTGCCTTCTCGTGGCGGGGGTGTTGTTTACGAAAACGAGAGGACGAAAAGCGAATGTCCGGCGCTTTAACCGGATTCCAAACCAATGGTGCACATGGGCTCCAGTATCCTGCGGGAACAAATGGCGTATGAACCAATTGTTGGTCACCGGCTTCCATGGGACTGCATCTCCTTACGATGCTCCACTGCCTTGTGGATCAGACCTTCAGGTCGAAGGCTCGGGGTGTGGCCCCCTAAGAAAACCACCTGCTTCGGTTTGGGCACCCGGGCAGTATCACAGCCCTCACACATATCGAATGAGATTTGTGTGGCGCATATGTATTTGGTGCCTCCTTGTACCAATGTCTATGTGTTAAAATAATAAAAATAACCTCAGAAATCAGTGTGGGCTACATATATGTGAGTAGAAGTATCAAGACACGAACCTAGCATTAGAGTACTGTTGCTTACCTCAATGAAGTGTGATACGATTGTATATACCTACTGATGATAAACATTAAACAGATGTGGTAGTGTGACCTACTTAATTTCTAGAAGATAAGACTTTGATATACTCAACTGTCAGTACGAGTCGCAACCGTGATACGTATACAGACAACGCTAAATTTAGTAATTCCATACAAAAAAAAGCCACCAAGGTTGCGTTTCTATTTGCCATTCATTTAAGTAAAATTCTCCGAGTGATTGAAAATAATGTAGATTAATTAGAACCATTGACAATTCTTCCCCATGTTAACGAATAAAAAGCCTCACCGTAATGGTTCCCAGAGTACACTATTTGGATAACTCATCATGTTACCTACGCTTTACCAAACTACTGGTGCTCCATACATAAACTACGCTAAAGCACACCGCTCTGCCCCCAAATGCCCTGGTACGGCCGAGAGTGGGGAGAGTTAGCTCTCCATATCGAAATGCTCTCACATGGCCACGTGCACACAATCACTTTCAAGGAAGTCCTATTTACTGCCCTCTCAAAGTGGGGTAGCTGTTTACGAAATTGAGGAAACAAAGAGCGAATGCCCGTGGCTTTAACCGGGTTGGTGGATACGGATGGTCAACCTAGGGGAATCCGGAAACCCTTATTCCAAACCAATTGTGCACATGGGCTCCAAGATCCTAAGGAAATAAACGGCATATGAACCTATTGTCGGTCACCAGCCACTATAGGACTGCATCTCGTTACGTTGCCCCACTGTCTTGTGGATTAGACCTCTGGGACAAAGGCTCTGGGTGGGGCCCCCTAAGAAAACCACCTGCTTCGGTTTGGGCACCCGGGCAGTATCCCAGCCCTCACATAAATCAAATGATTCATGTGGCTCATATCTAGTTGGTGCCTCCTTGAACCAATATTTGTTTAAATAAATAAATAAATACCCTGTATTAATAGACACTAAACATTACTAAACGGTCACGAAACAAAACAATGGTCTTGAGGCTAATATGGTCCATAAATTAATATATCCTTTATTTTCTATCTATTTCGGGTTAGGGAAACTGAAAGGTCAGGCCTCGCGTTTAAAAGCCAAAGGACCTCATAAATACTGAACACATGCTTTCGAAGCGGCAACCGACTCTTGTACCCACTCCTAAAAGTTTGAGCTTAATTTATCCATCTACGTTTAGGTTTAGGTATATAAAAAAGTGCACTAAGAATTTATTAACAGGTTTCCTGGCTTATCCTAAAAGCAAGTAATCTGACTTCCGGAACGTCATATGCTAGTGACAGCCTGAACACTATTGGAGCCCCAGAATAGACACTCATTCAGTGATCACGCGAAAACTGACTTCTTAATTTTAATTTATCATTTAAGAACTGAAAAACAACTAACCAGCAGTATCCCAAATCTCAAACTTTACGGTTGCTGGAGGATCATTTAGGACGATCGTCTGTGTCAAATAGGCAGCTAAACGATTAAATTAGGTATTAAAAACCAACCCCCAATAGTAGCTTCTTGGTACTCACTAAACTGACACTTTACGAGTCTCAGGACTATGCTTGATTTCCCAACAGCTGATTCTCCAAGTATCACCAGTTTATGGGAGCTTCTGTTTGCCATCCTCAAGGACTACAAAGTACTTTACAAACAACCTAAAACTGTTCATATAGTTGGAAACAATGATAATATGAACAAACCAACGTCTAATAATCAAGCTGAAAGACGGAGTGAAAAACAGCAGTTCCGTTGGCAAAATATTAAGCCGCCAAAAGGTACGGACCGATGCGTTAAAACAGACGGTACAAATGGTTCTGGATGAAGAACAAGAAGCTCCCTTCCTAATGTGCTTCTCTATCTGGTAGCAGTGAATCAACGATGCCTTCGTATAAGAACATGGGTATATTCAACGATAAAAAGTTGAAGTTAGACATTAACACCGTTGGATGCCTGCTCAGTTGTCTAGTTGGTTCAAATGGTTGTGGACGGAATAGGAGAAGCTTCCGCTTAACAGGCTTTCGTGTCCAGTAGCAGGGGATCACCAATACCTCCAGGCAGGAACCTAGGTATGTTAACAATAAAAGAGGAGAAATAAATTGGTAAGTCATAGTGCGATCCTATCCTTAATCCTTAAGAATAGATCGAGTTGCCTCTTAAAGGACTCCTGGGAAGTCGCTTGAACTAGCTTGGCCGGCAGCGAATTCCAGCATTTGACAACTCTTAAGGAGTAAAAGTTGTGTCTACAGTCCGTTCTGCTATGTTGTGTCTTCCGTTTTTGGGTGTTACCCCTTAGGTTAGTGTTGGAACTAAGCTTAAGTAAGTGTTTAAGAGGATGTCCAGAAGTGTTAAGGACACTGTACGCCATCAGAAAGTTACCTCCAAGACGTCTATACTCTAATGGTTAAAGGTTAAGTGATTGAAGGCTCTCCTCATAAGGTTTAAACTTGAGTCCTCGAACTGATTTCGTGACTCGCCATTGGATAAGCTCCAGGGAGGAAATACTATGTTTCTGTACTCTAAATGGGGACGAATAAAAGTGTTGAAAATTATGTAGAAAGTTCTTCCGTCAAACTGGCCAAAAGTGCGCTTCAAAGTTACCAGTGCAAGGTTTGCTCGGAAGGCATTTTTGTCACAGTTAGCATAAGACACCAGGACTCCTAAATCTTTCTCGACTTGGGACACTACTAGAGAGGAGGTACCCAAGTTATAACTGTAGTCTGCGACATGTCGTAGATGGACTACTTTACACTTTGAAGTCTTAAAAGTAAGTCCATTAGTATCTGCCAAACTTTGAAGTCGAGTCAGATCCTCCTGAAGTGCCTGTATATCGTCTTGGTTGCGTATCTCTCTCCAAAGTTTCACGTCGTCGGCAAAAAGTAATAAGTCTGACGATACCTGTTGAGGAAGATCATCAATGTAGATCAAGAAGAGAAGAGGTCCTAGTACTGAGCTTATTGATATGACATGTATGGTTAACCTAATCAAAAGCTTTTGAGAAATCTAGGTAGATGATATCAACCTTCCCCTTGTGATCGACGATGCTTGTCCATCTGTCCATCGCAGTCAGCAAGAGTAACAAGAGTAACCCTTCCTGAAACCATGCTGTTGGAGTGAGAAAAAATTTAAGGACAGTAAATAGTCATTTATACCATCGCACATCATGGACTACATGATTTTTGAAGGTATTGAGAGAAGAGCCACCGGTTGGTAACTTGAAGGTTCGCTGCCTCGACCTCCTTTGAAAATTGGTGTGATGTGAGCCAGCTTCCGATTTTCCGGTGGTCTACCTCGGCTTAGCGAGTGTGAGGACATCACGCAAAGCGGCACTGCCAGGATTGAGGCTGCTTCCCTCAGTATAGCAAAATGAACCATATCCGAGCCAGGAGAAGTGCCAATTATTAAGTGCTGCAGTTTCCGGAACACCAAGTCAGCGCTCAGGTTCGCCTCGGAAAGTCCTGTGCAGTAGCAAATGAAGCTTTCGTTAGTATAGTTTATGTGGGTCGGTTGAAATGTCCGAGAGTATTGCTCAGCCAAAAGGTTAGCGGCATCACCGGCGTTATTGGTCGAGTCATTAGGACCTTGCAGCTGGGAAGCTCAAGTTTCGGCTTGTCGAAGAGAGGCTGCATAGCGGAATTAGCTTTTCGGATTAAAGACAAATTTATCCATAAGCTTTATCTGGTACTGGAGCCTGTCTTCTCTTATAGCCTTTGTGCATATGTTCCTTATATATTTGTATTGCCTGTACGCTCCATTGTTGTCAGTTCGTTTGTACTCTGCCCAACAGTGCCTTTTGCACCTTAGCAAGCGAAGAGTGCGGTTCCTGGTGATTGTGGGTTGGTGATGGCTATGGGGGACCGTTTGACGAACTGAATGATTTGTAGCACATATGAGCGTGTGCAGTAAGAAGTCCCAATGAGCATCCACATCGAGTTGAGGGTAAACATCCCAATCCACCTGTTGTAGATAGTCCTGTAGAGCTGACACGTTCAACCGTTTGAAATTCCAGCGCAATTTGTCGGTGGGGTATCTTAGCTCAGCTTTGCTGACAAAACTGAAAGCTATGACGGCGTGATCCCTTTTTCCCAGGGGAGCCAGGATTAAGAGGTTGTCAACTAGGAACTCTTCGTTTGCAAATACACAGTCTAAGCGCGATGGTGTCTGACTGTTTCTCCAACGAGTTGCCGACTTTACATTTTCGTATAATCCCAAGTCCTCAATGGGGTTGAAGAACCGAGCTTCAGTTTAGTTTTCATCTCCAATGTACGTATGTTCCGCGAAGTTGACTCTAGGGAGATTGAAGTCCCCTAAAATCAGGATATGAGTGAAATCAAGACGAGTAGAGAGGGATAGACCTTCCCGCATACGACTGTCGTACTCGATTTCGGCGGTGGGCTTCCTATATATGACTCGAAGTAGCAGAGCACCATATAGATTCCTCAAGATTGTTAAACTTGAGGTTATGAACTTGGTGTACCTCCAAGCAAGATCGTATGTACACGGATACACCACGCCCAATTCCTGTTTTTCTATCTTTGCGAAACAAAGACATCCCAGGTGCTGCTAACTCCTGGTCCGAGAACTGAGAAGCTATCCAAGTTTCAGTTATTCCTATCAGATGAGCCTTATTAGTATTGCTAAGTTCACGTAGCTCATCCATTTTGTTTGGTAGACTCGCGGCGTTTATGTATAAGCAGTTTATGCTTTCAATTTGAAACGCGTAGGCTTCCTGTTTGTCTGTTTGAGCCTCACGTGAATGGACAGGTAGTCTACCTATACAATGTTTGCCGAGTTGGTAGGCCCTGTCATTTACACGTTTTTTTGTCATCGAGACAGTCCACAAGTGGAATGGTCAGCTCCAACTTGCTTTTGTGCTTGGTCCTAGCTTCATATGGCCTATCCGGATGCATGTGGATTCCAGCTGGCAACCGACGTCTGTTGACACGGAAAGCCTCCAGAGTTGAAGCCGCCATGTGAGAGGATGGGAAAGTTATCTTCACTAGCCGGGGTCTGGAATCACCGTCCTTCTTGGCTAGTCTCGTCACGTGTTGAGTCGGTACAATTTTGAGCCTCAAGGACTGTCTGGTGAATTTCCATTCCCTGTTATCGGAGTTTGCTTGGTTAGGGTTCTTGTTTTCCCGTACCCCTTGCACAATTATATTCCTTCCGCGGAAAAACTTCTCGCGAGATCCTTTGGGGATGTTCCGGATGAGATTGCGCTCAGAATACGGTATGTCAGGAAGTATTTTTACATTACCATCTGATTTCAGTAAATGACTCGCTAGCAAGACATCCTCTACGTCGGTAGCATTCTTAAGTGTTACAAGAAGTAGCCTCGGATGATTTTAATGCTTAGATTCCTTTCCCCAAGTGAGCCGTGTGACCGTCAAAGACTCTGTTCTTGGAGGTTCAAGTTTCTTATTCAATTCTCCCAAGAGCATCCTGTCGTTTTTGTCCTGCAAACTGAGAGGAAGGTCGGGGTTGTCTTTGAGGTTCATGATTATGAGAGAGACATCACGAACCGTTATTTTCGTCCCAGGTTTTCGGTGCGTTCAGGTTTAGCACCTTGTTGTTTGGAAGTCGAAGCACGTTTATGAATCCTAGGCTCTTTGATGACCGGACGGACATTCTTGGGGGTAGACTGTGCGGTCAAATCACCAGTTGATTTCCCTACAACAGCTGGGATGTTCAACTTAGACTATGACGCCTGGTCCTTTTTAGCTCTTTTGACATGGATCTAATCGCCTACAGAGTTTTTAAGAACTACTGTCGCGTTCAAGGGCCTTGAGCTGTGAGACCGGAGTTTACTGAGGGAGTCGAGTACCGTCGACGTAATGATGGTGCTGAGTTTCAACATGTCATCATTAGTGCTAATACATGCTCCACCGATGGTATACCTGTCGACATCCCTATTCTTGTTTTCGTTGCGCGCCCTTGTTTGTCTACCCGTTTTATGACTGTCATTTTCCAAGTTTGCTGACAACTTATTCCGCAGACCTGTCAATAGAACAATGATATTATTCAGCAAAACTACAGCATCCGTGCTGCACGTAACACACTCTCACTTATGATTCGACTTGCTGAGTCTGTTGTAAGCAGTTGCTGTGAGATCTGTGCACGCTTCGTGGAACCAACCTTTGCAATTGTCGCACTGCATGCCAGATGTAACAGCAAAACGGCATCTAGGTGGTTTGCATGAATTTTTGACGACTGTATTGACGTAAACTGTGTTGTAGATGCTAGCGAAAGCCTAAGACCGTAAAAATACACTAAAAAGCACACTGAAAACGGACAAAAATGGATAAAAACAGATGAGATAAAATGAACTAGCCTTTACGTGAAAAACTAAAAAAACGAATAGTAAGCTGAGGCAAAACTACAGTTACCTATTAAATCGGGTGAAACTCAAAAAAGTAATCAACCGAACGTACAGCTCAGGATAGATTCTTCTGATCAGAAATGGTACTTTTGTTGCGTAAGAACACAGCAAAATTTTGGTAAATGCTGATCACATTAAGAAGTTAGAACAAGAAGCTCACCCCTAATGTGTTTCTATATCTGGTAGCAGTGAGTCAACAATGCTTTCGTGTAAGAACATGAGTATATTCAACGATAAAAAGTTGGAG